TAGTCCTAGTTAGGGAATTATCTCAAACATTAAACAAATAAGAGTGCAAAACAGCTATAATCATACCTTTGCAACTGGAAAATTATCAGGAAGTCTTAAAGAACGGCACTGTGATGGATCGTTGATCTCAATCAACTTCCAGCTTCTGGATTTTTCTATTGACTCATCTGCAATTCTTGACTTCGCATCAGCCAAAGTTCGACTTGCACTAGTCTACAAGAGTTGATGATGGGAAGCGAATTAAATGGTCCACATTTAAGAATGTAATTCCCACTAGATATTCTTAAAAATATAAGGAAGCCTAACCATCGGAACAATGGATATCATGGAAAATATACTCTAATCCAAAAACATCATTCAAACTAAAAATAAAATAAAAGTGAAATCAACAAAATATGCCAAAAAAGTAAATGAAAACAATGAACTGGCCTTTATCTATGCGACGGCGAGCCGGAGCAGTCGAGGAGAGCCGGAGCACTCGACGACGAGCCAGAGCAGTCAACGGCGAGCGGTAGCAGACGACGGCGAGCGGACAAAGGAAGAAACGGAGCAGCGGGAGACGGTAGAATTAAAATTTACATATTCAAAAACTACATTAAAATATCTTCAAAGTTGAAAATTATAAATTAGAATATATGAAACAAAACGACATACTAATTAAGCAAATAAAATGAAACCGTTTGACCAAGAAAAGTCATTTTTTATAGCGACTTCCGAATAGCGTATTTTCACAAAACCCTAATTTTTCCCGTCTTTTTGCACTCAATGTTCACTTTCCCCATCTTTGGGGTATTTAAATTACATATGCAAATTTGGGGTGTTTACCTCACACCCCTTCAAAGTTCGGGTATTTTAATTATTTTTCCCGAATGGAAATGGCTAGTGGATACTTTTCTGGAAATACGTATGGTTTGGATCATTCCCAAAGCTACTGTGCTTTTGTTGTAGTGGGGAATGCTTTGTTTTTTTAAATTGCTTTTTACACATTCGGATTTCTAACTTCCGAATTAATTAAATTTACTTTTTTTAATTAAAAGCCTATGCATTCGGAAACGGTAGTTCCGAATCAAACTTTTCATTTTTAGCAATTCCCGGGTTTTAGTACCCTAAAGGGAATTCCCATGTTTTGGCAAGGCATGTTCGAAACTCCCGTTGTTTCGTCATTCTCTCGCGTTATGGTAGAGCAATATTGTGATACTAGATTTTTTTTGTAACTCTAACTTTTTTGGGACTTTAATGAAATCATACAAAAAAACTCAAATATAAAAAATGAATATACAAAAAAAGATTGGAAACAATTTATGTCACGCCCCGGACCTCCCCGGACCTCCCCGGACACGTCAACAACCCGCCGTACAATACGAATAGTCAACCGCAGTCCAACACATTCATATTATACAAGGCGTCTTGAATATCATTCACACACATAACATCCATAAACAAACATAATAAGTAATTCATAACGCAGCGGAAAACATTGTTTAAAACAAAAGGGCCACACAGGGCTATTCATGAGCACGCAGGCTCTATAGTAAAATATCCATGAGCATGTTTAATATTGTTCAAAACAGAATGGAGAAAGCATGAACCACGTCTTCTCTCCAAAGGATCACCCGAGCAACGGGCACAGGTAACAAGCTCGAGCCTCAACCTGAAATGGTGGTGGGACGCCCCCGAAGGGATCAGTACTCTATACGGCTATAAAGTACTGGTGTGGCAGACATCTAATAGATATACAACAAGTAGTTCACACACAAGACCCTCAAATAGGGTGATAATATAGTATAGGCCGTAATCCCAAATTACCCCTTTCAAAATATATACTTACTTTATATAAAGTCAAGTAGTCGGCTCAAAGGCCCATGTTTGTTACAAAACATTTCCCAAACCCCGTGACTAATAGTCACGACAATACATAGGGTCCAACCCTAATATAACTTCTCCTCTCTAGAGTTCGGCTCGAGTACATCATCATGCACCCGCATCATAGATTTCCTACTTCATACAATTTTATCATAGATCTCCTACTTCATGTATTCACCACATACATAGATCTCCTACTTCATATAATCACACCATAGATCTCCTACTTCATAAAATCACACCATAGATCTCCTACTTCATAAAATCACACCATAGATCTCCTACTTCATAAAATCACACCATAGATCTCCTACTCCATGAATTCACAATTGACACTTGAATCTTATTCAAGTTCATTACAAACAAACCCAAACCTTTAAGTTTGATTCTATCAATATTTCGAACAATCCTTAACTAGCATCACAATACTATTAAGATTATTCCTACAACTCATTTACTCTTAATGGTAGCCCCTCCATATCAATAGATATGTGGCAGCCTCCCATGTGCTAAGCATCATCATGCAACTATACATTTACATGCACATAACATTCATACAAGAGTTAGAAAAATCTATTTAACATATTAGCATGTTTCTACCTCATATGACTCCATATTCATCAATATGTTTTCAATTCATGGTCAACTCCATTACTTATCATTCATATCATGTTCAAACATATTTATTCACAAAAACATGATTTAAGCATTTAGGTAATCTCATGCATAACCTACAAGTTGTAAGCAACTAGATGTCGGTCCTCACCTCGATTAAGCTCCAAACTGCCCTCTATCAATCCAGCCACCAAACCACTGGCCAAAGGTGATTGAATATTGGTTCCTTGCTTGAAATATGATTCTATACAACCTCTTCCAAGTGTAGGTTCGTTTCCTATCAAAAGTTATGAAAACAGCCCCCTTAAAGAGGTGTTTTTGGGTGAGTACAATCCATAGCTTTTCAAGGTTCATCAAAGGTTACTATCTAACCTTCAAGACCATGAAATAAGATACTCAAGAACATTTTCCATACTAATAGTTATGTATAATATCCTTCCTATTCTTTCATGTGATTTAGACCATGAAATGGAAACTTTAAGGTTCAAACATACCTTAAGGAGAAAAAACTGTTTTGCACGTTTGGGTCTGTCTTCATTGATTTGGAAACCATCCTCTTATATTCTCTTACCAAGCTGCACCTTTACAGAAACTACGTTTTTAGAGGTTTCCATTGACATATTACACGTTCGATTTGGTTGAGAGGAGCTCAAGAAATAGGAGTAGCAATCACTAGAATCAATACATAGTTTCAGAATTCAGATTCTCACCTCGATGTATATCCGTCCTTTTTGGGTTGTAAACTCCTCCAATTCTCAAGAATAACACCTTTTATGAAATCTCTATTCAATACCTTTCCAAAGACACCTCAGACACCCGATTTGAATAAGTGGTTCTCAAGATATGAGGTGAACAAAACCAACGCTCCCACTGTGCGGCTTAGCGGACAACAGTTTACTTTGCCACTCTCTTGGTCTGTATAACGACTCTTTCTTCTCCAGAAACGAAGCTATGGTGAAATTACTCTCCAAGAGCTATCCATGGACACCTCAACCACTCAAAATCGATGAGTGTAGCTCAAATAGTGGGAGAGACAAAAACCCCTCGCGAGTTGTGTGAACATAGTATGAAATAGGTTCCCTTTTGCCATTTTCTCTATGTGCAGCCCCCCATACCTTATGTGTATCTTCCTCCACCTAAAGGACAACCTACCAGGCCTTCCTAAAGAGTGAAATGAGCTGTAAGGGTCGAGATAATAGGATGGAGGGTTTAATTCATCAAAACATTACAACCACACATGTATGGGCCATAGTTTTGTCTCATGTGTGGTGTTTGATTCTCTTCCACAAGTTTGTCCGCCCAAATGTGTGATAACTGAACATTTTCCTTTGTTTACAGGTCTTCAAGTTGTATGGGATCCTTCCCAAGTGGTCCCAATTGATTTGGGATCAAAATATCTCTTAATACTTCCAAAAGTGGAATAATGAGTTCTATTGTTTTATATATCTTTTGTCAAAAAATGTATTTTTGTACTCATTATAGTTTATTTAGAACAATTCAACCCTCTACATCATATTATTGATCTCCAATATGTGTAGGGTCATCCCAATAGTTTACATGATGAATATTATAGAAGAAAAACATACACTACTCCCATTATTTAGTTCCATAATGTCAAAGATGGGACCGTAGGCATTTGTATTCTTCTCTAATCATCCAATCACTTATTTATGACAACAATATTCATATTGCTAGGCTACTAGCCGTGTGGGTCACCCTCGAGTGGTCCTAGAACTCCATTCTTGAATACTTACTATTTTTAGCCGGTTGGGCCCAAAATAACATTTGGGTTGCCTGACCTTCCTTATTTGGTCTAGGAGGGTTATGAACATTTCTTTACATTGTATTGGGGTCTTATATCTAATAAGATGGCCCAATAAAGTATTTGGAAACCTATCCTTATGATATGGGCCTAAACGATAGTACGATTAATCATTCATTACATAAAGCTTTACTCGTTTTACACGTAGTTGATAATAGGAAATTCAACTGTATGAATTGTATTTGTTTATTTTTTTAAACCAAAATTCTCAGGTACGTTCGGGTGCGGTGTCACAATTTAAGACGAATAGAAAGTAGTAGACGAGAAATTTTATTTGAGATAGAGGTATTGGAATACGTACATGAAATACATTTTAGCAATGTTAGCTCAATAAATTGAGTTTGCACTTGCAACTTAACGTTTTAAGAGTATGGACATTTATTAAGGCGGCATTAGGCTTTTGAGTAACTCTATTAGAGAAATTATCAATTTGAGTAACTCTATAGTATTTATTTTAAATTTTTTGTTTTAATTTTTTATATTTTATTATTACAAATATAAGAAAATCCTATCAAAGCATGAAAATGATATAATAGGTAGAGTTACTCCTATTCTGGGAATCAAAAACTTATACTTCTATCTTTCAATTTAACTTTTATTTACTTCTATATTAAGAGAATTACCCCTCATTTGATTTCAAAATAGTGCCTTTTTGCTCTTAAAATGTAAAAAGTTTAAGCTACTTTAATTTTATTCTTTTAAATTAAGATTAAATCATTTATATTAAATGAAATAATAATACTTCAATTTATGTACATCCCGTATGCTTTACTCCTTTTTACAACAATTTCTTACTACGTACACAAAAAGTAATAGAATAACAATCCCATCACTCTGGTAATAATAGGCAGTGATGAAGCTTGTGCATCCCAAGCAGAGGTAGTAACATTGAACTGGTTTCCTTTACCTACAATATAATAAACATACGTAGGGTATGCTCAATTAATCGATCGTCATATTATTTGTTAGTTCTTAATAATTAACGGCTTGGAATATAATAGACCTACATTTGGATTGCTTCCACCCCATAATACGCTTTTCTCGATCAAACACTGTATTGTAGCCAGTCATGAAATTCTCTGCACAAATAATTAATACGTACCGTCATTTACTCATTTATTGGACATGTTTATGCAGTTATGCATGCATATACATGCTAATTAAGATACGTTAATACTATACTATTACGTAAATTAAAATATAAAAAAACACGTAATCAATATCGTAAATAATAATTGTAAAAAAAGCTAGATAGATTGAGTGGATGAGAATTAATATTGCTCACGTCCGATTATGTTAATATTGTCATCCTTGATAATAGCTAAACAATAGAAAGGGCTGTTACCCTGAAAAGGTAATTAAATAAGGAAAAGATGAGAGTTATATTTTTTTAAACAGAAGACAACATTTGAGGAATATAATTCTAAGAAAATAGAGCTGAGCAAACACCGGATGTAAGTGGAATGTTGGAAAAAGCACATCAAACTTTTGTCCTCCCTTCATTATTAAACTCAGTGTAGGAGTCCAATAAGAACTTTGATTTTGGCTACAAAAGGCATATATAATTAGAAAATCTCCGTCAGAACAAAAAAAATATTTATGAGTATATACGGAGTGTAACTGTTACTCTGAGAGTTCAAAATATAATTGAACGTAATAGAAGCATGTCAAAAAAAAATATATAAATGTTACTCTACTATGAAATCACCTCAAGTCATAGCAGTATTCAAAATAACGAGGAGATGGTTGTTTGCGAGGTTCCTTTATTAGAGAATTGAACTGCAAAGAATTGTTAAAACAAACATTAATTTTTAGGGGTAAATGTGTAAATCACATTGATATTGTTGTACTTTGGAACCCCTCAACTATTGCATGCAGCGAATTAGTACGCTACACAAATTTCTTTGTCTCGCAATAGAACCATTACGAAATTAGGGTCAAAATAACAGTTTCCAATTACTAGTCAGAAATACCCTAGTTCGGGAAATAAGTTTTAGAACTATCCCTTTTTGTGAAAAAACTCTATTAACATCATGTAAATTTGATTTAAAATTATGTAAACTTTATTATACATAATAAAGTGTCATAATTCTTCATTGCATTCCTCGTGTCCTTTATAATTTTGTCAATTTTTTCTTTTTAATCATCCCAAAATTTTTGTCATTTTTTCTTGTAAATAAACAATTTGTGATTCTTGTTAAATCTCTCTACTCCGTATTTTATTATTATTTTTAATTTACGTGCCACTCTACTTTGATAAAGTTATAAAAGCATTTGATTTTTTACGTACCACTCTACTTTGATAAAGTTATAAAAGCATTTGATGGGGTATGTTATTATGTATATTAGATACATATTTGCCTATTCCCTAAATTTATCGTACTAATTAATCAGTATGCATGTGAGCTCGGTAAGATAATACTACCTCCGTCCCCCTAAGTTTGGGACAAGAGAAGGTGACACAGTTTTTAATAAAAGTGGGTTTATGTGGTTGATATTGAATTGATAAAGTAAGAATAAAGTAAGAATGATTTAGAACCACCCAAACTTTACCAAATAAGGTATGAGACAATCTTAGTGGGACGGACCGAAATGGTAAAATGGGACAATCATAGCGGGACGGAGGGAGTATAATGTATATTTGAGTTGATTAGTTATTTCCATATAACGAATGCTAAACTACGGAAATTTAGACTACGTATGTAGTGCCAAATATTTTTGGCCATAATGATCGACCCAACTATTTAAATATGACTAAGCTATGATACCACTTTGCCTAATTTAGTACTTGGGGTTACAAAATGGGTCCACATTATTAGTTACAGACTTGTGCCTCTGATTAATCCATAATTTGTGGTCCCATACAATGTGTGTGCATGTGGTTCGCATTATTTATAGAAAAATTACCTAAATAAAACTAAAAACGTTTATATATTCTAAAATAGGATTTTCATGTTTTTATTCAAAAAACACGACTAATTACTGTCATGTTTTAGCATATCAGACTTTAAACATGACAATATTTTGTAAACTTACCTGTAATTACTCCTATTTTGGGGATAAAAACATGGCAAATTTTCCAGAAAGTTTACTCCTATTTCAGAAATTTTCCATAATATGTACAAATAGTTTCTAAAGAAAATGACTCACATTGTCTGCAATAAAAGTATAGGCTGGATCACTTAAGACTGTAAATGTTGTACCAGAGTCAAAAAATACCGTGAGACCAACATGTTTAAAGACATTTTGGTTCACAACAATATCCTCGATTAGAACATTGTGAGCTTCACTGCATATAAGAAGATTAAACCACAGAATCAATTAAGTCTATAAAATGTAACTAACCATAAAAAATAAAATAAAAATAAAAATAATTAACTATTAGAAATCAGGATTACTATAAATTAAAATTGTAGTAATGATGAAAAGAGAAGTAGCTAGCCCGAATATACAAGATACATACTTTTCTGTTGTTAGATCTAATGGTGTTCTCTTCTGATTGCGAGTTCCTTTGTCCCCGAAAATTAATCTCCCCTTCCCATTGGGTGAGAAACAAAGGGAGAAGGAATTGCCAATAATCCCTTGAGAAGCAAGGATGCTAAGCACATCCATATCTTCAGGCCCATTACCCGGCCCGAGTCCCAATAGCCCGTTGACGGCAGAAGAGCGCACAAATAATCCTTTTACCTTGGACGCGCACCTTTAATTATATATGCACAAGGCGCAGTTAAAGAAATCAATACTACTCCCTCCGTTCCATTTTGGTTGTCTTACTTTCCTTTTTGTGTTATCCCAAAATGAATGTCTTATTTCCTTTTTGGCAAGAAATATGTGATTCTTATCATTTCATCTTATTCTACTCAACTCTCAACCACAACATTTACTTTTCAACCACTTTATTAATAATCGTACCAAATAGAAGGTGGACAACTAATATGGGACGGCGGTAGTACAACATTGAAAAATTACGGTACATAATTAAATATGACTAAAACTCAACACATTTTTCAAAAAGATGGATCACCAGTGTTTTGATTTTCTTGTTTTTCCTGCCAATAACAAGTACTGAATTACGAGTAGTCGAGTACATTTTAAGATGAAAACACAATAGTTTTATGGTAGATTCTATGGTACCCAAAAGGTACCATACCTTTGTCTACATGAACAAATGAGAATGTAGCAGTTGAATTATATAAATCTAAATTAAAAGTGATAAAGTGATGTGGTCCAATCAAATGAATGTTAGGTACGATACCCCATTTTTTAAAAAGGTACCGGAGTTAGTCACCTACTTTTATTTACACCTACGTTTTAGAACGTTAACCGACGTTCAACATGCATTCTCGAAATTCACCATGAAAGTGATGCGAAATTTTATCTTTTAAAATTAGGGTTTTACCTAAATACTCCGTATGTTAATTATGAACATCGTTAAAATTAGTTCAATACTTTGACCAAAAATGCCAAATAAGACAAAGCTATGAATCGGAGGGAACATTGTCATGACGTGCATAAATATGTGTAGTAACAAAGCAGCCATCAGGACCATCACTCCAAGTTTGGGCTTGGATTTTCCACATATGCATATGCACAAATAACCCCCACAAAATGAATGAACAAACATTATTATCTAACTTTCTCATATTTGACCTTTTAAATTAATGGTGGCAAATATTGATCAATAATAATTTTGATCAATACGGAGTATAAATTTATGAAAATTATATAATTTGATTCTTTTATGAAAGTACTTCAACAATTATATTACAAATCATTTCATATAAAAATATAGAGAGTACTATTGATCAAAGTTTACCTTGCTTGGTCAAAAAAGTAAAAGATAACAAAGTATTAAGAAATAGAGTACCTATTTCATAATACGTACTTCCTTCGTTCCCTTTTAATTGCAACAATCAACATTTAACGTTTGTCAACGCACAAGTTTGACCATTAATATCTTTCATTCCTTATTAGTAAAAAATTTAAAAAATTCATATTTTGAAAATTTAGAATGAGAAGAATTTAACAATATTTTTAAAAAATTTAATTTATAATACATTAATTAGTAAAATATAGTCAAAATAGAATATGTGAGTAATACAAAAAGTCTAATGTTGCAATTAAAAGAGAAAGGAACTAGTATATAGGTATAGGTACGTACCCGAATGTAACATTTGCTCTAAAATGTTTAGGTTGCTTAGCATAAGTTGCAAGGTGTATGACGTCAGATACTAGCACCCCTGTAGTCGAAGATCCATCCAAGTATAGGACCTCATAGGGGCATCCCTTATTTGAAGGACAATTTTGCCGCCGACATATTCCACTGTCGCAACCAACACTTGTATATGTGGAAGAATTATTCGGATGGTAAAAATTGAAATTTATGGTCTATCCTAGGCCGAGAGATTGTACGTACGTGGCAGATGTCAAAGTACAAAAAGAACAATTTGATTGAAAGGATAAAAGAGAAATTATATTTGCAATTAACGTACCATAATAACATGTACGAATAGAAGAGAATAATAGGTAAAGCACTTATATAAATACGAAGTATATACCAGATGTGTTGAAGGAAAAGTGAAGTGGCGTGAACAGACGTTGCAATTGCATGGGAGCCAAAATAATGAGCTCCCGGTGTCTAATGCCACCATGAACGACATAGGAGGCGTTCCCACATAAACTTTTACAAAATGATAACTGTAAAGTAGAGTCAATGGGTACAAATTAATTAATTAATTACAGATATATGTCGGTCTCACACATATGGTTAATTGCTCTAATTGAGACCATTTAGTTTATACTACCTCCTTCCCATTTTATTTAGTCATCTTTGACTTTTTCAGTCAAAGGTGATAAACTTTGATCAATTATTTTAAATAATATATTTATGTGAAACTTAATAAATTTATACTCTTATATTATCAATATTACCGTGTATAAATATATAATCGGTCAAAGTTGAACAACTTTGACTTGAAAAATCGTGTTTAGCTATATAAAAAGGGGTAGAGGGAGTATATACAACCAGACTACCTCTATAAATTAATTGGCTATCAATACGTTTAATTATGTATGTAAAAATATAAATAAGCGTATAATATTTTGAAAATAAAATTAACACAAATTAAATATAATGTAAAGGGTACTTAGTAACATTTTACGCAAAGTGCAAGGTACATGCTTAGTTTTACTCTGTATAGTACCTCCCCCAATTAAGTTCTCGTTACTCTTTTTTAGTTAAATTTTATAAACTTTGACCGTTAACTATTCAAAATTTACATTAGTTTATCACACATAATTAACTTTGTATACTTCATTGTAATACTAGTATAGTTTATATATTCAAATGTTAATTTGCACTACTGTATGTAACTTTAGAGTTTATAAGTACGTACTACGTACTGTATACGTAGTATATTTTTAGATATCAAAGGTTAAATTTCCATGCATGCATTATACTCATCAGTGAACTTACTCTGCGAACGTCTGCACCTGAAAGGTGGCATCTCCGGGTGAAAAGGTGATGGCCGGAGAAGATTGGCGTCTCCGGGAATCACGGGCTGCCATGTATGAAATGTAATCCAAGCCTCCTTTCTTAGGCAACCCGCCCTTGCCTAAGACCTCGACAACTTCGCTCGAGTAGCGGTCATAGATTTCAAAAACACCATTATTATTTGGTGACGATGAAACACCCATGGCCATTGCTGCTAGGAAGAATAACAACCAATACATTGTACTTGCCGGCCAATTCACTAATTGACTATGTATGGTTACTCAAAAAAAATGAGATTAGCTAGCCCATATAAATAGAGTCATCCGTGAATTGAAACACTCTTAACCGGAGGAAGGATCTAAGCAAAGTGAATTATTGAAGTGGAGGTACTTCAATTAGACACCAAATGACAAAAGTTGGAGGGTTTTGAAACTGCCCTACAAAAACATAGCAAAAGTAGGGGAGCTAGTTTGACTAGAAATTACCCCTAAATAAGACTAAAACTTAGCAAAAGTATACAAATAAAATTGTATGTCTTTTATTTCTAAAGTAGGACTTAAATTACTTGATCGTATTAAATCCATAAACCTTTCCCGAGCGAATAAGTCTTATTTTTGAAAAAAAAAATGAAAGTCCTACATTTGCACTTTATCTATGTTTTTGTCGTATATAAGGAATTTACTCTTATTTAATTTGAAAGGAGTTACTTGTAGGCTACAAAAAAAATGAATACCGTAGTATCAGTTTGGGTTTGACAAAAACTAGTCTTGAAACCAGTGGCGGAGCCAGAAATACGGTCCAGGGGGGTCGAGAATCAACTTTATACAAAATGAAAACAGTGGATCGTTTCCAAACAATGTCCGAGTTGAATATTTTATATGTAGTTTAGATAAATAGGCACTCGTAACAATAAAAGAGACAGTTTTTGCTCTAATTTTGAGTCATGTCACGTAAGTAATGAGTTAATTATACGCTGTTTTTAAAATTTGGGGAAAAAAATCAATATTACTCATCAAATTTTGCTGATTTTACGTTTAGATAGTGCTGATTTTGCAGAAGTCATAACTTTTTACTCGTAATGAGTTACGGGGGCCATAATATATCAAATCGAAGATATTTCACAGTTCTATGCTCTCAAACTTTCAGCGGGGTCGACTGACCCCCCTGACCCCCCTTGGCTCCGCCCCTGCTTGAAACAGATGCCCTCTTCCTTCTTGAGCTAAATATTTTGTTTGGGTCAGACATATGTATTTAATGTTTTTTAAAAGAGACTTAATTATCATTAATCAAATCTTTGGCTAAAGCCGATGCAATAACAGAAGGAGAGTAAAGTCAAGACTGTGTATCAGACAAAGAACAAGTCGCTCTAGCTAACAAATGGACTTATTAATAAAGTAGTTGAAAAGAAAGATGTGTTTTAGGTTGACTATAAAATTAAAGAGTCAAATAGTAAAAACCACATACTAATATTTATTTTCTCAAAATGAAAAGAGAAGCTAGAAGTTGAAGAATGATCCAAAGAAAAAAAAAGAAACTTATTTTAAGAGTAGTACGTATGTAGTACTACCTACATTCTTAAATAGTTGCAACATTAAAAATGTTATAGGAGTACTATAAATGTGCTCTACTTTGGTTATATTTAATCTACAAACACATTAAAATTGATTTTGTAAAAAATATAATTAAATTCTTCTCATTTTAAATTTTCAAAATGTAAACTTTTTTAAATTCTTACAATTAGTACATCAATTATATTAATGAGAAAAGTTGTGTATTAACAAACGTGAAAACAAAAGTGTTGCAATTCAACTAATAAAAAATGGAGGAAATAATATAATATTTAAGAAAAATTGAGACCCTAAAAAAAGGGATGACACCCCAACCCTGAGGCCCCTCTGAGAGGATGTAAGTTGATCTTTGATCTTAATCTAATGAAAAGATAGAGAAATTACATCCCAACTCCTTGCTTGGAGTTGAACTCAAGACCTTTCTCTTGTGGCACCTTATTCCTAGTATGTAAGCTATGCGGCCTTTAGTTGACTGTAGTGTGTAGATATACATCCAGTAGCGTTTATAATAGTATAATTATTCCTTGAAACCTTTAGTTGTTATTTATTAGTCCGGATATTGTCAAGTTCCAATCCTTTATTAGTGTTCTATTAGACCATCCACATTGATGATCTTCAACTTTAGGGTTTTTCAGGGCTTACTATTGTCATGTCACCTCCACATAAGATAATCTTAAATTATCTTCAAAACAATAAATTTATCTTCATTGATGATCTTAATTTACCTTGGATAAGAGCATGAGCATGCACGAACTACAAAGCTAGTCATTACCGTAATTATGAGTATATGCCTAGAAGTTGGAAATAATCTCAAAATAATCCAGCTTTAGAATTTGATCCCAGATTATTTTATTAAATAATCTCATAAAATAATCTCAACTTCTCATCCATGATCCCAAAAAAATCTTTCACATCATCAAAATGATCTCAAAAATAATTATGGATGTGGATGCGTTATTGGTTTTCTTTTCAACTTACTTACATCTTTTACATGGCCTTCTCGAATCAGTATAGGCTTGTTATGTTTAAATATACTTAGGTTGCACCTTTTAGTCTTTCAGCTCCTTCTTTATCTACTTCAGTGCCATTCCTACAACCCCACTCACTACGTACTTATTGCCACTCTTCACTTGCTTTTAGTTTGCCACATCACTTTTATTGATATAATCATTTATAGAAAATTTTGCACGCGCCATCATTTACATTTACGCTATTTGAATGACTTTATACTTTTGTATGTTACGATCTATGACTCGTATATAAATACCACAAAACCTACAATTTCAATTCCATGAGCATCCATTGAAAATTTGAAACACTGGTTGTTAATTGAGGAAAGATAAATTGAGTGTTATAATACATTGTAAAACACATCGTACTCAAAACACATTGTCTAGCCTAGTAAGCCTACCCCGGTTCCGTTTCGAAAACCGCCGGTTCCAGTTTCAGTTAATTGATTGATTTATGCGTACACACCCAACACATCCAAATTAGTTGATTTGTGATAAGTTAGGATAATTGAGTTGCCAATAGTGAGGATTGTGCCGCAAAAATGCCCTATATATGTGACTCCATAAGGGAGTCATATGAGGTTCTTTAAATTTTTTGGGATATTCACGGATAAGTCTAACCAATACATGTTTCACGTGTGCACACTTAATGGACCATTTTATTTTTGTGTGCATTATTTATTTATATATTTTCCCTACAAACATATAAATATGTACATATCATGATTCTCCATATATATATATATGGCATTGACCCTTTTCCTTCTTTACCAGGGGCTAGGGCTCTCAATCTTTCGTACGTGCATTTAATTTGCGCAATAAAAAATGTATCTGGTAAGGTACGTTGTATTGTTGCATTACTAAATAAACATGTAACTTCTTGATAGTACTTGTTACACCACATGCACTTCCATGTACTATTACTTGAGCTTCCACTCAATTACGTTTCTGTCTGACCTTGAAGTACAAAGATGTGTGTTTTTATATAATAATTAAACCGGAAAGATTAAAAAGTTGGTTATTACTCAATCTGATCATATTAACTGTGTCATTAGAGCCGTACTAGCTGGACGGGTCGATCTGGAACATGGTGATGATGGTGTTGCAGGAATTCGGCCGGATAAACTTGCAAAAAGCGTTTAGTAAAATAATATAGTCCGAGTCGCGTAAACGCTGTTCTCAAGAAAGTATTTCCGACTAGCGAAAGCCTTTCCCCAAGATAAAACGAGCTCTTCCGCGTAAGCCGGTAACAGGGGCGGAGCCAGAACACTGGGCCGGACTGGGCCGATACAAAGAATATTTTTGAAAAAAAAATTAAACATAATTTTTTACACTAAAAATTTAGACAATTTTAAAATTTGGGCTGGGCCAGGGCCAGGGGTGGCCACCCCCTAGCTACGCCCCTGGCCAGTAACAAAACAACGAGAATAGAACAATATATTAGGCTTTGTTTGCAAACAATTAATTTAAGTGTTTTTGGCTTTTTTTTAAGAAAAAAACACTTATTTTACCAAACAATACCAACTTTTACTTTCTCCGTTTTCGTGTAGAATCTACTTTTTACTTTTTCTATTACACAAAAAGCACTTATTTTACCAAACACTATCAACTTTTACTACTAATCACTTTTTCCCAAAAAATGCTTTTATTTAATCCATCAGAGGTATCTACGTGTTTGAACAAAATGTTTGTCTTTCTGTATGAATATACTCGTATGTCCGCTCTTTCGCACAATGCATGGAGTATATATTTACCCATAAAGCAACAACTCAAAAATTTGGAATAAGATAATGATAGTGACTAATGGTATTCCAATTGTACGTAGGACTTGGCATCTCCCAACAAAACCAGTACAAGCAAATATATAGAGGAAAATTGAACGCACGTTGCTGCCATGTAAAACTGTTGGGCCATATTAAAATATATAAATGTATTTAATTGTTGTATTAAAAGATGGTTAACGTTGAAAAAAAACATAAAGGTAAATGCCCAAAGTTGGGGCCCAAACGTTTGAACGTTATTTACACACGTTTACATAAAATAATGATACCAGCTCACAAATCAATTTATTTAATTTGCAAAATGTATTTAAATTAAAAGGTTATGAAAAATAATATATAATCAAAGCTTTATTCATTTGAAATTTCCAACAGATGGTACTATGGACAATTGCCATAGCCCAATAAGTCAGCTATGGCCCAACTCAAGGGGTTTTCATCGGTTTTAGTTCAGTTCTAGTTTATTCGGTTTGGTAGATATTGTACCAAATTAAAATCATTTGAATTTTTGTTTGGTTTCAAGTTGGGTTTACTAAAGTGAAATTTATTAGGTTTTATTTGTTATTTGAATAAAGTGTAAAGGGAAATGATACAATTACATTTAGCGACACAATACTGATGCTAATTAGGTAATGATCGTGATACGTATGTATATAGGGAGAATATATATTTGTGTGTTTCTGTTTTTTTTTTCTTTTTTTTACTCCAGGGGGTCTGGGAGAGGGCGGTTGGAGGGCTGGAGTAATCAGGGTTGAAACTCAGTTCATTAAGTTTCGAACCTTTATGTGCCTAGCAGAATTCAAATTTGAGACCTCCAACTAGGCACGATAACCTCACAACCAGCTGGGCTGGAATGCTTGTGTGTTCCTTTTTGAGTAACTTTTTAATACGGAGTATAATTAAATAAATAATCCTTAGCGATCATGTCGATGTTTTGCGTTCTTTTGGGGTCTATTCTGAGGGGCTGTATACCTCAATTATTATAAATCAATTAAAATATACGGAGTATTTCGTACCGTGAAAATATCGGTATCGTTGAGTATATGGAAAATTGAAGCTATATATGTACAAAGATGGATTGATCTATTAATATTGGATATGATATATTTACATAACGGTCATGCACACCATTTAATACTCTGAGTAGTCTAGATTCATCATTGGGATATGATTTGGTAATAATTTTTGGCATTTTAAATATATAAACGTACTATCTCCTTGTCAAATGCACGAACTATCCTAGAAAAAACAAAAACAAATCATATCGGTAAATTGTGAAACAATTCAGAACAATGAACCGTTCTCATCCATGCTTTGGATCCAACATCAATATTTTTATGGCTATTTTATGCATTGCCATTATAGTGATATTATTTCAACAAGGTAATGATCTAAACCTTTGAATTACTTGCTTCAATTCAGTGGTTCGTAAGTCATGACTAATCAGTATATATTCAACCATTTTCTTGATTTTAATTATATTAACACTTGTAATTTTGGTTTGGATATTGCTGACTATTAATAAGATATGTTTTGATTATTGTGGATGCATGGACTATATATATGCTCATGGCCGTAAAGGTTCATCATCAAAGGCTCAGGAAAATGTGTTCGCCAATGCAAATCTGCCATGCGGGGGTGAGAATTCAAATTGTACTAAAAAATCAGATTGCTACTCCCCATGTGCAAAGAATTTTAATGGAATGATTCCAGATGACTGCTATTACCTCGGCGATTATCCAGTAAAGTTATGTTGTTGTAAGCCGCCCGGTCCGCCCACAAGATTTCTAGCCGAAACTTGGAAATAAAAAACGTTTACGTAGTAATAAATAGTATTACGTTTGAATTATGTTTTGCGGCTGGTCCCAAATATGTTAGTCCCGTGTAATCGGTCACATTCACCCTAATTAAAAAAACATAACTATTTATATATAATAATCTTATCTATAACGAGATCATTAAGAACTAATCTAGACCTTAGAATTGATAAAATCGAAGGATCGGATCAAATTTTAAAGCCAATATATATGCGGTGACATTACGGTAAATATGTTCAAGTTTTAATGGAACTGCTGAAGTGAACGTGCATCATTGTAATGAAATAGTGCAATACCAAATAGTAAATGCGCACCCCAAATTCCCAAGTGTGCAAAAAAAACATGAATGTTATAACATTTTTATAGCAAATTAGCAATACAAACTGCACGTACATAGAGATAGTATATACGTAGCTAGGCCTCTATCGCCGAATCCGTAGCCTCCCACAACTAGGAAGAAATGGTTGTGTAAAAAATGATGGAGAAATTCGGTCGGATAAACCTGCAAAAAACCGTTACAAAATAATCTAGCTCGAGTCGCGTAAATGCTGTCCTTGATCAAAAAAGTATTTCTGACAAGCAAAAATCTTTCCCCAGGCCGGATATAACGAGCTATTCGGCTTACGCTGGTAACAGAACAATGCGAGTATAAAATATTAATCCAGCAGAATAAAAATATTAGGGATGTTTAGCTCAAAAATAATCTTTTTTTTTTCAAAATGGACGTTGCTGACATGCTGCTAACGTTAGTAATAATAAACCCCAACGTTCAAATTATTGAATAAAATTAATGTTGAGGCTTCATTGTTGTAACTCCTGAAAACAACGAGTTATTATGCCCTAACGGTTATAAAATGAAGTTTAGCACATCATGATAGACTTTAAAGCTCAATTTCAAAATAATAAATGCAAGCACCATGCAGCACACGACTTTTAGAAGGTAACGTCTATGTCAAATAATTTATTAGTAAGCTTTAATTAAATCAAAAGGTTATCAAATAATCAAAAAGTAAAAAAAAAAACATTCTTCATTTGAAATACTCTAAATATTTTGAGTTAATTCCCTAAATAGGACTAAAACAATAAACAAGTACACAAATAGGACTTCCATGTTTCATAGGACTAAAAATGTATTTAGTTGACAAAGTTACCCTTAATGAATCTTTAATTCTATTTACAATTAAAAAACGAAAAAAAAGTAGCAGATCTTCTAGTGTTGGATAATTGATACCCATACTATATGAACAAGAGAGATTGAACAAGAATGGAGAAGAAATAATGAAAGTATATAGAATGAATGAATATTTGTATGGTTTACAAGCCTTACATAAGGGAGTATATATATGGAAAATCCGGGTCTGGGACTCTTATATGGGCCTGACAGACCCGGTTACATAAATAGACTGATAGTATCACTACAAGAAATCTCACATTTTATGACAAAAATTTGTGTGACACACAAAAAATTGTCACATTATATTGAGTAATAGTGACAAAACTCAAATTTGTCACTGTAAAATGATTTAATATGACAATATTATTTTATGTCATTTTAACTCTTATATTTCGTCATTAATTAATATCTATTATGACAATAATAGCAAATTTGTCACTTAAATTTTGAGCGCCAAAATTTGATGCCAAAAATGTGGCGGGAATTTGTTTATGACAATTTATAAACAATTAATGATGATAACTTTTGTCACATAATTTTTAACTATTACGACAAATCATATTTTGTCATTACTTTTGTGGTAAATTAATGACAAAATTATTTTGTCATTGATGCATTGACTTTTGTGGGAGCACCTGTTCTTTTTGTGAAAAAGAAAGATGGGACACTTCGAATGTGCATTGACTATCGTCAACTGAACAAGGTCACAATCAAGAATAGGTATCCTTTGCCTAGGATTGATGACTTGTTTGATCAACTACGAGGAGCAACCGTGTTTTCGAAGATTGACTTGAGGTCGGGGTACCATCAATTGAAAATTAAGGAAGATGACATACCAAAAAGTGCTTTCCGCACAAGGTATGGGCATTTTGAGTTCCTTGTCATGTCATTCGGATTAACAAACGCCCCAGCGGCATTCATGGACTTGATGAACCGAGTATTCCATAAATACTTGGATCGATTCGTGATCGTGTTCATAGATGACATCTTGATTTACTCAAAGAGTGAAGAAGAGCACGGGGAGCACTTGATACTTGTTCTTGAGACACTACGGGAGAAGCAACTTTATGCCAAATTTTCTAAATGTGAATTTGGGCTAAAGGAAATTGGCTTTCTCGGGCATGTGGTTTCGGGATCGGGGATTGCTGTTGATAACAAGAAGATAGAGGCCATTACCGAATGGAAGAGACCAAATAATGTCAAGGAAATTCGTAGTTTCCTTGGATTGGCAGGCTACTACAGAAAGTTCGTGGAAAGGTTCTATGTTTTGGCGTCGCCGTTGACGAAGCTCACTCGAAAGGGAGCTAAGTTTATATGGGATGACAAATGTGAGAAAGGATTCATCGAATTGAAGAAGAGATTGACCGAGGCACCGGTACTTGCATTACCCAAACAAGGTGTGGGGTACGATGTCTATAGTGACGCGAGCATCCAAGGGTTTGGGTGTGTGTTGATGCAGGAGGGAAGGGTAATTGCATATGCTTCACGACAGTTGAAGAAGCATGAGGTAAATTATCCTACCCATGATCTGGAGCTGGGGGCAGTGGTGTTTGCACGGAAGATTTGGAGACATTATCTCTATGGAGAGACATGTCACATATATACTGATCATAAGAGCTTGAAGTACGTGTTTACTCAGAAAGAGTTAAACATGAGACAGAGACGGTGGATGGAGTTGATAAAGGACTACCATCTAGTGATTGAGTACCAGCCAGGTAAGGCAAACGTTGTAGCAGATGCCCTCAGTCGGAAGAGTTCGTCTGGGGCATTGTTGACTAGTTTGAGGGCATTGAGGGCCCAATTGGATGTATCTAGCGATGATGCCCTATTGGCACGATTTGAGGTGAGACCGACCTTACTTGATGAGATCAAGAAGGGTCAAGAGACTGACGCAGAACTTGTGAAGGTCCGGGAACGCATGCAAGCGGGGCCGGTGGAGGATTTCAGGGAAAGAGATGATGGTCTCTTGTTATTTCGTGACCGAGTGTGTGTACCGTCAGATGAGGAGCTCCGTAAGTCCATCTTAGAGGAGGCTCATTCATCGGCTTATGCCATGCACCCAGGGGGTACGAAAATATACAGAGATTTGAAAGAAAGTTATTGGTGGTCTGGAATGAAGAGGGAAATAGCCGAATACATCAATCGATGCCTTACTTGTCAACAAGTTAAGGCGGAACATCAGCATCCAGCAGGCTTATTGCAACCACTTTCCATTCCTGAATGGAAGTGGGAACACGTGACTATGGATTTCGTGGTAGGTTTACCACGGACAATCAGGAACTATGATGCAGTTTGGGTCGTTGTAGATAGGCTCACAAAGAGTGCGCACTTCTTGCCTATCAACACTACCTACCCACTTGAGAGGTTAGCCAAATTGTATACAGATGAGATCGTGAGGCTGCATGGGGTCTGAGTGACCATTGTATCCGATAGAGACCCACGATTCACATCACGTTTTTGGCCGAAATTTTAGGAGTCTATGGGAACAAGGTTGAAGTTCAGTACTGCTTTCCACCCACAGACGGATGGGCAGTCTGAAAGAGTCATACAGATCTTAGAAGACATGCTAAGGGCTTGTGCATTGGAGTTCCAAGGAAGTTGGGACAACCACTTAGCACTTGTGGAGTTTGCCTATAACAACAGTTATCAGGCAAGCATCGGCATGCCTCCATACGAGGCATTATATGGGAGAAGGTGCCGTACACCGTTATGCTGGGACGAGGTTGGCATGGCCAAACTCGAGGGTACTGAGTTGGTTGAGATCACCAAGTCAAAGGTGAAGTTGATTCAAGAGAGACTCAAAGCGGCTCAGGATAGACAAAAGAGTTATGCAGATAAACGTCGGAGAACCTTAGAGTTTAAGGTTGATGACGAGGTATTCTTGAAAGTTTCTCCTTGGAAAGGGATCATTCGATTCCAAACCCGAGGAAAGCTTAATCCACGATACATAGGTCCATTCAGAATTATAGAGAGGATTGGGGCCGTAGCATATCGCCTGCAGTTAACTCCTGAATTAGAGAAGATACATAATGTGTTTCATGTGTCCATGCTTAAGAAGTATGTACATGATCCCTCTCACATATTGGAAAGGCCGCCTGTAGAGGTACGTGAGGATCTGAACTACGCTGTGCAACCAATCAAGGTCACCGAGAGAAAGGTGAAAAAACTGAGGAGCAAAGAAGTCCCAATGGTTAAAGTACTTTGGAAGAGCGATCGGGTCGAAGAAGAGACATGGGAAACAGAGGCTTTGATGAGGAAGCAGTATGCTTTCCTATTCGAGTAGAGCAGTGAATTTTGGGGACGAAATTCCTGTTAAGGGGGGGTGAACCTTTGACACCGCACCCGAACGTCCTTGAAAATTTGATTTAAAAATTCAAAGTTTATGTATTGGATTTCTGATTCCCAAACAATTGTAAAACGATTAATGTTTTACGTAATTAATGATCGATTATTGTACTGTTCGAACTCGTATATTAGTGTCAGGCATGCAAATACTATTTGGGTCTTATTAATAAATAAAAGAGCCCAACATTATCTAAATAGTGATACATAATCTTTCAAGACAATCCGAGTAAGGTCGGACGGCCCAAACGTTATTTTGAGCCCAACCTGCTAAAAATAGCAAGTATTCGAGAATGGCATCCTAGACCCAATCGGGAGTGACCCACACGGATAGTAGTCCAATAATATGTATGACAAATGTCAAAATAAGTGATAGAATGATTAGAGAGGAATAAAAATGCCTATAGCCCATCTTTGACATTATTGGGCTAATTAATGGGAGTAGGATTTTCCTTCTATGATACCCATCAAGTAAATTATTGTGATGAGCCTACACATATTGGAGATCAATAATGTGATGTAATAAGTTGACTTGTTCTAAATAAATTAGGATGAGTACAAAAATACATC